CCACCTCCCATTTCCCTCCCCCTCCCCCAGTCAAGTCCCCCTCCCTCGTCAGCCCAAAGAGCAATCAGGGTTCCCTGCCCTGTAGGAAGTCCAATGACCACCCACCTCCATCCAGGTCTAGTAAGGTGAGCATCCAAACTGCCTAGGCTCCCACAAAACCAATAAACACCTTAGTAACCAGCAGAAACAGCTGTATTCCTAAAGAATAATGGGAGCCCATATTTAATTAAATCAGTCTGAGGCTGTGGGTGGCTTGATCACAGATTATCTCCTAGTTGTGAGAACATCAAGTACATTTCCTGAAGGGATTGGCGGGAGCTATAAACTCAGGGCCTGGTGCTCTCTAGGACACATGGCAAGTGGCTGTGTGCCATTTGGAAGCTTTCGCTAATGTTTGGAGAGATCTTGTCAAATTTCAGTCAGGCAACTGGGCACTTAGCTGTAGATCAGATCATGATCTGTATGTTCAACATATCTAAAGCAATAAACTTAATTTTCTTCTTTAAGATACTTTGATGATTCTGCTAAAAGGATCATTTTAAATGCTTTCCCACCCATTATGATAGCAAAGCAAGGCTAATTTCCCCTTTCATTATCTCTGACACAAACCATCTGATACACCCATCCCTCTCAGAGACCACTCCTGAGAGATCTGTACGGCGCGTATTGCGGATAAAAGTCCCATTTCATCCCTGTACTCAGAAGTGAAAGATCTGGCAGGGATTCTGGCCTGAGGAAAGTCTATTTGGGCAGATATAACAAAGTGCCACAGACTGCATTATTTATGATGGTAATCGGAAGCTGGGAGTTCACACACAGAAGACTAGATGTCTGGTGAAGGCCTGTGTTCTTACAGATGCTGCCTTCTTATCATGTCTTCATGTGGAGAATGGGGCTAGTTAGCTCCTGAGGTATCTTTTTTCTTAAAAAAAAAAAAAAAGACTTTACTTTCAATTGTGTGTGTGTGGCGGGGGGGGGGGGGGGAGTTATGTACAGGTGTTAGCGAAACCTGGAAGATGGCATTGATCTTCTGGAGCTGGAGCTAAGTGAAGTTGTAAGCAGTCTGGTGTTGTGGAATATCAGTTAAAGATGTGTTACATTTGTTTATGCCGTGGAGCATTTGTTTAATGAGGCAAAGATGTGTTGCATTCTTTTATGTTGCATTTGTTTAACTCTGTGAAGCTGTGTTTCTTTGCCTGTCTAAAACACCTGATTGGTCTAATAAAGAGCTGAATGGCCAATAGCAAGGCAGGAGAAAGAACAGGTGGGGCTGGCAGACAGAGAATAAAGAGGAGGAGGAATCTGGGAGGAAGAGATCAAGGAGTGAGAAAAGAAGAAGAGTAGGATGCGGGGCCAGGCCCTGAGCCACACAGTGGCACGGAATTAGAAGGGAAGATAGAAGTAGAGAAAGGTAAAAGTCCAGAGGCAAAAGATAGATTGGATAATTAGTTAAGAAAAGCTGTCTGGAAACAAGCCAAGCTAAGGCTGAGTATTTATAAGAAAGAGTAAGCTAACGTGTTTTATTTGAGAGCTGAGTTGTGAATCACCAAAGAGCATAACAACAACCAACTACAACCTGACATGCATTCTAGAAACTGAACTTTGGTGTTCTGGAAGAGCGGTGTGGTGACGAGCCATCTCTCCAGCCCAGGATGTCTCTCAACAAGCGAACCAGTCCTATTTCCAGGGGTTCCATCCTCCTGACCTAACACTTCCCCACAGCCCATCTCCTAATATCATGACACTGGAGACTAAGTTTGGACATATGGGCTGGGGTAGTAGCGACGGTGGGAGGGACCAATGGAAGTGTGCACTATAATTTTTTTTAATGCCCAGGAACCATGGGATATTGTCATAAAGTTGAAGTTTTACTTCTCTCATGTTGTATCAGGAGAAGGGGGTTAAGGCTTGTGAGACTCACTGGCATGTGGAGCCGGGGTGGGGGTAGGGGGTGACACACCTTTCAAACATCATTGGCCACAATAGGTGAGCCCAGCCCAAATATTGCCTCCTCAACTTTGTCAGAGCTGATGGATTCCTCTGCATTGCCTAGTGGCATTTCACCCAGTTCCTGTCACTTCTTACATGAATTACTTCCTCTTACTTTGCTCCTCAGCATCCAGGGTTAGCCTACTTCCAGCTCACTTTCCACTGGCTGTTTGTGGGGATGCTCTATGTTCATGTGAGCTATGCAGAGCCTGTTGTGGAAGGGCTCCATCTATGTCGACTGGTTCATTTGGGTTCTTTACCACTACTCTACTGCTGGATGCCTTATGAAACTAAGCTCTGTTCTCTTCTGTCTCTAGGACTTTGAGACTCCTGTGTTATTCCTGGAACCTTCTCCCTCCTTCTCTTTGTCTTCCTACTTATCATGTAAGTTTAGAAGCCACTCTTTCCAAGAGTCCCTCTCTGACCATTTATTTGCCAAAGACGTAGTTTTACCTGGTTCAGAACTAGAAGTAGAAGCTCTCGGCGATGGCAGCCTACTTCTCTTGGCCATCTGTTCCTGTTTTTCGCTTGACTTCTTTCATCCTCATGACCAAACGTTTAGCATATTCTGCAACTTCTCGGTTTCTCTTTGTGCCCTGTTTCTTCAGAGCAATGTGCTGGTGTTAACATTGCAGGACATGTGGAACAACAGGCTGCTGCTCCTGGGCTTCTTGCCTCCCTTGTTCAAGGGCCTTCTGACAACATATGCAGACATCATCTTCCTTAGAGAGATGGGACAGGGTTTCCTTTGGATGCTGCTCACTCTTTGGGGCCTCAATCAACAAGACACAGTAGTGTCCACAAGTTATTTATTTATTTATTTATTATAATAATACAATAACCAAGTTGACAACACCGACACCCACTATGCCTCCAAGAACAGACTTGTGCTTTCTCTCTCCAGCTCTCCTTGGTCTACAAGAATGTCCTGTACTCAACAGCCTACACACTCTGGCCTGGGTCAGTATGCCTCGCTTCATGGGAAAACCTTGTTTGTTTATTCCCACAATTGTTTTTGCCACATAACCCTGCCACTCCTCCCCCAGAGCATTGGCAGCTACTTCTGGGACCAAGCATGTCTCAAAGAAGTGCGAGGTTTGCATCCATCATCCACTCCAGAGAGTTTAATTCTATTTGAGTTGGGACTTTACTCCTGGTTACTCATGTAATTATGGTGCTATGTTCCTGTTCGTAAAATGGGAGTGATGACCACTATTTCTGATAGCTGCATTAACCAATTTTCTTCTTGCTGTGACCAAATACCTGACCAGAAGTGACTTAAGGGAGGGAGAGTTTTTTTTTTTATTTATAGGGCTGACTGAATAGGAGGTTCCCACGAAAAAGAACCCAAACTTCTTTTTTTTTGTTTTTTTGTTTTTTTTTTTATTGAGAATAAGAAAAAAAAAGTTTCCGCCTCCTCCCAACCTCCCATTTCCCTCCCCCTCCCCCCACTTTTCTCCCCCTCCCCCCTCTCTTCTCCCCCTCCCCCCACTCCTCTCCCCCTCCCTCTCCTATCCAAAGAGCAGTCATGGTTCCCTGCCCTGTGGAAAGTCCAAGGTCCTCCCCCCTCCGTCCATGTCTAGGAAGGTGAACATCCAAACTGGCTAGGCTCCCATCAAGCCAGAACATGAAGTAGGATCAAAACCCCTTGCCATTGACCTTGGCTTCTCATCAGTCCTCATTGTTCGCCATGATCAGAGAGTCCGGTTTTATCCCATGCTGTTTCAGTCACAGTCCAGCTGGCTTTGGTGAGCTCCCAATAGATCAGCCCCACTGTCTCAGTGGGTGGGTGCACCCCCCGTGGTCCTGACATCCTTGCTCGTGTTCTCCCTCCATCTGCTTCTCATTGGGACCTTGGGAGCTCAGTCCAGTGCTCCAGTGTGGGTCTCTGTCTCTATCTCCATCCCAAACTTCTTTATTAATGAACCCACACAACTGCCAACCAGCAGGCAGACCTCCTTCTATCTGCCTCTGAGACCCATGCGCTTCTCCAGTACAGTTAGTCTCATAACGTAAGTGACTTGCTGAACATTGGGACAGAAGATCTTTGAAAACATCACAACAAGCAAACTGGGGCTGCAAAGAGAGAGCAAAAGAGGAATTTAGGGAAATGAGGAATTTGGAGGAAGTGTGAATAAAGATGTAAGAAAACCAAGGGAGAGAGAAGCTGGAGGCTGGAAATGCCCATCAGGGGCAGAGGGCTCAGCTAGCTTGCATAAGGCCAGTTCTGGCCACAGCCTTCCACAGAAGGTCGGGGTGCCTGATATCTATTACTGTAAACAGTAAGTGAGGAGAGCAACTGAGGTATAATGGGGATCCATCGCCCAGCAACTACTGCGCACTTCTCCCGTCATCCTCTAAACACTAAACCACGCCCTCTAGGTCTGATTTTAAGTACCCCCCCCTCACCTCTGCAAAGGGGACATGTGTTGCCACTACTGGAAGTGAATGGATCCTGAGGGCACAGACCTAAGCAATGGATTCAACATACATGGAGTTGATTTATAATGATGGCATTTTTGGGTGATGAGACTTGGTGGCAGAAGGTCACTGGGAGTGTGTGTAACATGAGGGCCTGCTTGTTGGGGTTTCTGTCCTGCCCAGTACCCCACAGCCGGCATGCCCCAAAGAAAATCACACAGAGATCTCCATAAGTTATAAAACTGATTGGCCCATTAGCTCAGGCTACTTATTA